ATCAGATGTTATCTCCCCTTATCTTGTTACTGTCATGGGTGAACATTTATTATTACATATTATTATTATTACGTATTATTATTATGTATTATTATTATGTATTATTATGTATTATTATTATTATGTATTATTGTTATTATTACGTATTCTTCTTCTTCTTCCTCCTCCTCTTCTTCCTCCTCCTCTTCTTCCTCCTCCTCCTCCTCTTCTTCCTCCTCCTCCTCCTCTTCTTCTTCCTCCTCCTCCTCCTCCTCCTCTGCCTCCTCCTCCTCCTCCATTCTTGGAACAAGTTTGAAGAGCTTGTAGTTCATAATCACTATCACTATCATCACCAATGCTCACATCTGAGTCTGGGATTTGGGAAAATAGGAGTTTCCTCTTTGATTCTGGTACAACTGAACGTGAACAAGCCGGCCCAGCACCAGAGGTGGAAGGCTGTGGGTTGTCTGGGTTTTCCTCACTAGTACCCATATTATGGTCCATTAGTTTCAGTCAAAACCTCACCAGAACCTTGAAACTCATCTTCACTGTCACTTCCATCTGTATTAGAACTGTCACTGGGGAACAAAGTGTCCCAATTCGCCGAGGAGTGAGGAACTTCTTACCGCCAGGCATGGTGGACATTGTGTACTATGATGGCATTCCCACAATGCACCACTGGGTCCCAGATTTTTTTCCTACTGCGCACACCCACCACACAGACCCATTCTCTCACATCTAGGCCTATCAGCCTTTTCCTGCAAGATTTGACAGTGCTAGAATTTATGTGTACTAGTACGTCAAAAACCCCTGCGCGTAAGACGTAAGACGTACTAGTACGGCCGAAACCCTGAAAGGGTTCAGTGCCATTTTTATTTTTAGGAAGAGAAAATAGTCACAGGGGGTTAAATCTGGGGAATAGGAAGGGTGGAGGACAACCACCATATTTTTGGCCAGACAGTGCTGTGTGAGGAGGGGCACTGTCATGGCGAATAAACCAATTGTTGAATGGCCACAATGCTGGATGTTTTCTTCTCAAGTCTTTCCTTAAATGCCTCATAACCTTGATGGAAAAATTTGGGTTAACTGTCTGCCCTGCTGGAACAAATTCCTGATGAATGATTACCACATTGAAAAAAAACATGAGCATGCTCTTCACTTGGTATGCCTTTTTTGGACTGAGTGAGTTGGGGCTTTTTCATTGTGAAAATTGTTCCTTGGTATCTGAGTCGTAGCTGTAGATCTAAGCCTCAATACCAGTAATGACCTTAGAAACAATATCTGGGTTATCCTCAACTAATTTCTTGCTAATTATGCAAGGTAAAGCATGTATTACATAAAGAATATGGATGCTATATCCGAAAATGTGGTTGAACATTTCAAGAAAGGTTTGGTGTGTAAAACAACCTTTTTACAGAGTAGAATCAAGCTTCTTCCCAATTAGGTGTTCTGCATAGAACTGTAAATTGATTACAAAGGTCATGAGAGGTTCACATGTGAAGAGGCATCTACAGGAATTGTTGAAAGGAATATGGTGTGATATGTTTGAGATTACCTGTATGTGGTATGGACATGGTAAAGCTGGTATTAAAGGAACCACTAAACCTGAAACTCTAAAGACCTGTGCACTCAGTCTCCATGTGTGTGGTCAGTTGAAGATATGTTAATTTGAAAGTACGATAGTTTACTATTCACTAAAATAACTTACAAAGACAAAACCAGAGCATAAATTGCTGTAGATGAAGTTAACAAGGAAGGACTATAAAGAAAATCTGATATGAGCATAAAACAGATGGATCCTTAGCAACACTCAGAGGTATCATCAATGTGATTAATGGAATGATTACTCCATCTACCTGGAGTCTACTAGAAGTGTGTTCCAAGGGTCAATACCCTAGCAGTCTGGTCCCAAATCAGACTTTCCACTGGATGACCCAATCAACCAGGCTTTTGGTACTAGCAGCACAAAGTCACATGTTAAGTGCCACAGCCTGGCTCATCATGCACTTATGTGAGAAACTTGTCCAGTACTTTTTTGAAGACAGCCAGTGATCTGTTGGTAATCCCCTTATGTATGAAGGAAGAACACTGAAAAATTTTGGCCCTTCATACTTACTGAGTTTTTCTTTGGTGTATTTACTGCAACCGTTTTTTATTATAGGTACTTGGCACCATATTCCAAACCTCTTACTTTCTTGTGAAATGATTTGTGTGTGCAAATTTGGGACCATTCCTTCTAGAATTTTCCAGGTGTAGATTACAATGTCTCTCTCCCACATCAATAAAAGTAGATAGAGCACTAGATACTGGGTCCAGACAAATGGAGGAAGCTGAAAGGAAAATGCCAGAAGGCTTCAATCCCACAATACCAATGAAGGTTGTAACCAAATTACAAAAAATCAATATAGGAAAATGAAAAGTTTACAATACCAAACTTATATATTCTAAAATAATGTGTGTACAAGAGTATTTCAAAGATGTAGACACTGAGGAAGTTTTGTTATGTAAGCTATCACCAGTACCCACTGCTCTCTTCAATGACTCATGAGAGATGTGGATATTGAAGTCAAAAGCCATCCTAAAAAAACAGACTAAGGGGTAAATACAATGGCAAACATACTTTAAAAGAGATGTTGTGCACAGTGGTAGATGGTTGTGCTTTTTATGTAGATTCCTCTTTGATCAATATCCAGTTCAACAAAACAGGCTACAATTATTAACTCTGTGAATAAATCTAAAGAATAATTAAAAAAATGACTGAAATTTTGTGGTTTACTTGGTCTTTGACAGATATGATGACCTCAGCATCGAGAATTCTATGCAAACCTCTGGAGGGAAAGAAGGCAGCAGAGTATTTAAGCTGCATCATAGAACACCCTTTTCCTCTCAGAATCTTACACTCACTGTAACAGGCAACAAGCAGAAGTTGACAGATAACTGGACAAGAACACCTGCAGAAACACTCTGGTGGTCTGACCATACAGATGAACACCCAGCAACAAATCAAGAAGCTGACAGTATCATTGTGCAGCAAGCCATGCACACTGCAGTCAAAGAGCATAAATATGTCACTGTTATTACAAGTGATAATTATGTTTACATCCTTTTGCTTTACCACTATCTGTAGCAAGAGTTAGAGAGAACAGTGGTGATGGAATCCCTATAAAGGGAAGAACTGTTATTGATATCCAAGGCACTGTGGAGAAATACCAAAGTATCATTCCTCCAAGTCATGCTTTAACTGGATGTGATACTGTGGCAGTGTGCTTTGGTGAAGGAAAGGAACAATGTTAAAAGTGTTGAAAAAATCATGTGCCTTTATATATTGTAGGTGATGTTGAGAATGACTAGTTTGATGTGATGGGACAGGTAAAAATATTCAAGAACCACCACAAGTCAAATCCACATCACAAGCTAGGATTGATGTGTGGATTGCAAAGACTGGGAAGTCTGGAACAGTACTCCTGAGATTGTCACACTGCCACCCACAACAGAGACATTCTCTAAGAATGTTAAACATGCTCATTTGCAAACTATTTGGAAGGATGAACTTATATCCTTCACAACTGATGGCCACAAACTTTGGATGGATAAATTAACAAAGATCAAAGTCTGTACTGCCAACATTTACATGGTGGACATTTACTTTCTGTAAATGTTCACCAAGCACCTGATAGGATTCTACATTTGCTCAGGTGCTCACGCCAAAGTGAAACAGACTGCATGGAAGTAATGAAGTCAGCTGCAGGACAAACCTTTAATCACCGACAGAGATAGCAACAGATGGTTGGAGTCTTTCTAGAAATCTTGGGAATAGTTCGGAGACCAATTGCAAGTGGGGCTATGCAGTTTTAAGAATGGACTTACCCACCTTTGAGTCAAACTCTGCACCTTATTCATTATTAATATAATGACTAATCATAATGGCACTTCATTCAATAAAGCTCAGATAATGGCATATTGGATGGACAATGTATAACGTTAGAGGACAGTGTTTTCTCTTCTAACATCATTATCAATCACCTACGTCATCATCTGAGTTTCACTGAACATAGAGCAGAGTTCAACCCAAAGGCAGATGAGCTTACTCTTAAAGTTGCATGAATGCACTTGCAGCTGGTGTACAAAAGTCCAGACTTCAACATTTGTTGCCATATGTTTCATTGATCAAGTTTGTCCTGCAGCTGGTATCACAACTTTCAATGCAGACTATAGCCAAACAAAAATAAAAACTCAACAAGGATCACATATGTGTAGGTCTGAGAGTTTTGAGTTATAAGTGCAAATAAATAAAATATAAAAATAGAAAAATGCTTCTTTCAACAGCCTGAGAAGCAGGGGCCTTTCAGCTATTTGATTACAGTTCACTTCTTCCCATAACAATGTTTAAATACAATGAGAGAGAGAGAGAGAGAGAGAGAGAGAGAGAGAGAGAGAGAGAGGAGAGAGAGAGGAGAGAGAGAGAAGAGAGAGAGAGAGAGAGAGAGAGGAGAGAGAGAGAGAGTGAGAGGAGATGAGAGAGGAGAGTGGAGGTGAGAGGAGTAGAGAGTGAGAGTGAGAGGTGAGGAGAGGAGTGAGGAGTGAGTGAGAGAGTGAGGAGAGAGTGAGAGGAGAGAGTGAGGAGGAGAGTGAGTGAGTGAGAGAGTGAGAGAGAGAGAGAGAGAGAGAGGAGAGAGAGAGATGAGAGAGATGAGAGAGAGAGAGAGAGAGAGAGAGAGAGAGAGAGGAGAGAGAGTGAGAGTGAGAGGTGAGAGTAGAGAGTGAGAGTGAGAGAGAGAGAGAGAGAGAGAGAGAGAGGAGAGAGAGTGAGAGAGAGAGAGAGAGTGAGAGAGAGAGTGAAGAGAGAGAGTGAGAGAGAGAGTGAGAGAGTGAGATGAGAGTGAGAGAGAGGTGAGAGAGTAGAGAGAGTGAGAGAGAGTGAGGGAGAGTGAGAGAGAGTGAGAGAGAGAGAGTGAGAGAGAGATGGGGGAGAGAGGAGTGAGAGAGAGAGTAGAGAGGTAGTGAGATTAGAGTGAGAGAGAGGAAGTGAGCTCAGCTGGCATCTCCAAGCTGGTGTCTCCCAGATTTAGACTAAAAGCTGGCATAGTAATTCAGTTAACATAACCTAGAACATTTGTTTTTCTTACCTGTATTTCATTTTTCTTTACCTAGGAAAAAATTAGCATTATTTTTTTCTGAATACCTCAAAATGCTCAATACTGACAGAGATCCAGTAAAGCAAACTTTCAAACTGGTCTCCCAAAGAACCCAAATACACAAATAAAAAACAATGTTGAACTTAGTGGCTATCAAACTATAGGGCCATTGTAACTCATCAACTGAATGGGCCCTGAGCTGATTTCAACTCTTCAGTGGTCCTAGGACCATCACAATATGTCAATACAGAAATTGAACATGTGGAGATGATGTTCATAGTATTTTTCTACATTTTTTATAATTTTCAAAAAAAAAAAAAAAACTGTTATGCACTCTTAAGACAAGGATATACAGCTCTCCAAATATTTAAAAAAAAAAAAAAAGTTATGTTGTTGCTGGTAATAAATAATGGACTACTTTGTTTTGCTCACACATATTCTCTTGTGTCCTCAATATTCTCTTGTGTCCTCAATATTCTCTTGTGTCTTCAGAAACAGCTTTTCACACTGACACTTTTCTATAATTTTTCAATGTAATTGCATAAGAGAGTGAAGAATAAGGGTACAATTGGCAAGGTGGATGGAGAGTAGTCATCTAATATTCATCTGGTATGTTGCTATGTTTTATACACTTCCTAACTTCCTTACTCAGTAAAACATTACTTGCTAAAGCTAAACTTTATCTTAGAAACATCTCTTTGAAATCTTTTGTTTAGGTAGAATGGCAAACTACCTGTCTGAAGCTAAGCAAACAGTATCTCTAACAGCTGACAGCTACCTTCCCTTCCTTTTTTCCCTATATTCTGTGACCCTCTTACAGTACAAAAGAACTTTGCTTTTATTTTATACTTAAGCCACAATGAGTTGTAGTCAAATTCAATCATTAAATTTGGACAGAACAGCAAACTGTTTTCATGAATAAATGCTCTTTATGCTTCCTTCCCTGATTGATATATGGTAAAAGGTGGTTTTTGACAAGAAAACAAGAAATTTACTAAATAAGACATATTGTAGAAGGTGCCTGACCAATGGCTTTAATGATACTAACTGTTTGTCATTTTCATATCCAAGGTAATGTTCAATCAAGTTCAGTACTACAGCCCAGCAGTTGCTTTTGACCTCAACACCACTAAACAGGTGATCACATGATCAAAACCCTTGATAAACAAGATTCCCTTCCTCCTTGAAGCATTGCATCATTGAATGCCTTATTTTTTCAAGAGCTTATCTTATAAGGGAGTGCAATGTAAATTAAAGTTATAGTCAATGGCCAGTGACTAATACTGAAACAAAGGCTGGATAGGTGAAATATACCAGGTTCATCTGACAATAGTTCCAGGATTATGGTAGTAGGGTTCATAGGACTCTCTGTTACAGCCCTAGGTTTAACAATCAATCAATGAAAATACTTACTTGAACTGTTTCCCATAAACAGTGACGACCATGTTCCCTATTATTTATTTTACCTTGACAAACACCGTTTTGTCCAATGCAAAATTTTCCTAGAACGTAACCCGTTGGCAAGGGATCACTGTATACTGTAATTTAAAAGCTACAGGCAAATTCAAAAAATGTTTTTAATTTCCTGTAGAATTAAAATACTATGCTAAAATTATATTGCAGCCATTTCGTTAAAATATTTAGCTCTCCTTAAACTATTAATAAAACCCAAAAGTACAAGATTGTGAATAATATTTTCGAGAAAACCAAGTGTGCAGCTATTTTATCTACATTTTAACAGACTGAAATCCTCCAGGTTCAATGCAGTATTGGTTTTCCAAACACTTATTTAATTATAAAAATAATATTTATAATACACTTCTGTTTCCCATCACAGAATGATCAAAAAATACATCATAGTCAATCATTTCACTATCTAGTGCCTGTTAAAACATAATGACTTAATGACTTTATGTCACTACATACATACATTCAGCACAAGGTGAGCTTTTTTGCAAAATCTCTTACCAGTACATAATTTTCAACCACTGCAAATGTTTTTAACATCAAAATACATTACTAGAAAGTCATAAATGATGAGACTAGGCACTGAAAATTCATAAAATCACTAGGAAAATAAACTTACCCCAAAATCAAGAAAAGAACTGGGAGGGATACATCAAGATCAGTTAAAATCAATGAAGTGATGAAAATGATTGAAAAATACAGATTATCAGTGTAATTGACTAAGAAAGACAAGACAAAAGCAGCAGGGAAGAAATTCTGTACAAACCACAAAGAATAACATTACTGACTGTGGACACAAGCAGCAGTTATGGAACATTATTAAAACTTTACTTATTTACCAGATTTACATTAAGGCAACAATACCTGTAAGCTATGTGTGAATATTCAAATTAAGAAATAAAAAATAGGACACTAAGACCAAAAACTTTTATAAACAGAGCCTAATGTATGGAGTGAGGGAGAAGAGCAGAAAAACATAATACAACAGCTCAGGCACCTATTAATGGCAAATTAAAGACATTTCAGTAACTGTTACTGGCTTTCCTAATGCACTTTTTCAACATTTACGATCAAACAATATAGGATGCAAAGTTTATAAATATCAGTAACAGACATTACTCAGGGAGACTTCAACTTCTCTCTAAACAATTCATAATCTATATTTTTTAACCACCTTTAAAGTGACTGGGCATTCACTGAAGAATCTATCCCCCATCCCTGGGTAAAGAATCACTCTAATGCAACAGTATATCACGGCAACACACACCAACACCAGGAGTCTGGGATAACCACCACATTGTGGCACTTGTTCAGAGATCTGTGACAACTGACACCCCCCTCCCCCCATTCTTAGGCTACACTACCGTTCCACCCGAGGCTATGGGACCTCCACCCATGGCCACAGCCGTTGTTGGACTGGGTGTAGAGTGCTGATTACTACCAGGCTGGAAGAAAAAATTTTGGTATAGTGCATCAAAATACATTTATTCAGTACTAAATATCCTAAATTTGCTGAATAAAATTTCTTTATACATATAACAATAACTTAAGCTTAAGAACGTGTCTTTGCTACATGAAAAATAATACGGTATTACCATTCCATATCAGGCCTCTATAACATTAAAATAGAAATTATTATGTTCCATTTTTCTACATTTGCCTAAGTCTCATTAAATAGGAAAATATAAATTATTTAATATCTGAACAAATTCATTAGACAAAATAAATTACCTAAGCGAATGAAGATTTTCCCCCAAAACTAAAATGATTAGAAGTCCATTCCATTGCACACAATTTATGTACAATTTTTTTTTTTTTAACATGTCAGCCATTTCCCACCAAGGTAGGGTGACCCAAAAAAGAAAAACCCAAAAAGAAAGAAAAAACTTTCATCATTCAACACATGCACCATCACTTTTACAAAAATGCATTTAGCTGAATATTATATCACTATAGTAATAACAAAAAATTTTAAACAAAATATATTAAGATGAGGAATGACTTAAAAATAAGTGCTCTATGTTTATCAATATCTTCGTTGCCCTGTTTCCAGAGTTGACAAGGATTCCTACAGGAGGTGGGTTTATGTAGAATCTTAAGACACAGAGTTGCTCTCATCCAATTTTAAAAGACATCAGAAAAAGTAGTGAGCTGTAACACTGACCAGACTCTTAATTCCAAAACCAAGCATTTTAATTTTATTGCTGTACTACCAAATCAAATCAAATCAAAGTTTATTACAATGCGGGGTTTACAGATTTTGGTTATTGTGTGGTTTACATGTAATAAAATACTAATTATAGAGGGGGCCACTAGAACACCTAGCATGGCTAGGCATTTCGGGCAAACTTAGATTAATTCTTAACCCTAAATTATTACAAATTGTGGAGTAAGTTGTACAGGTAGAAAGTTGAAAGTGAACATAGATACGAGTAGGTGATGAAGGTAAAAAATTGTTGGAGTGGTTGGTATTTTTGTTTTAATAAATGTATTAACCCTTTGACTGTCGCAACCCCCAATCCTGAGGTGTCTTCCTGGTGTCGCAAAATTTAAAAAAAAAAAAATTTTTTTTTTTCTTATGAAATGATACTCTTTTCCCGATTGTAATGACACCAAAAAAAAAACGAAATTTGATAAAAAAAACTGACGGAATTATGCTCTCGCCAAGTTAGCGACCACGGCGCTGTTTACAAATCGGCGATTTTGCCCCTTTAAAGCCCTATTTCGGCTAATTCCATTGTTCCAGTCGCCCAAACTCATAGCTATTTCTTTAGAACTCCATTTTTTTCTATCGATTGGGTACAGAAACTGCCCATTTACATATTTCAACTACCTAATAATGTGGTCAGAAATTTGCAATTTGGCCAATTTAAACGAAACAAAAAAATATGACAATTTCAAAATAAGGTCCAGAATGACAATGCAGACATTCCTGGCTCTAAAATAACATTTTTTTTGTTCATCAGTACTTTCTCCAGGCCCCTCTGATATTACTCTTGCTTTCTATTTTGAATTTTATTCAAACAAAAAATAGAAGACTTACTATTATGCAGACTACTGCAATACTGTAATAATTGTATATAAATAACATAAACCCCATTTATGACTGCATATTAGAATGGTAGTTGGATATTTATTGGACAATGGATCATTTGTTTACTTTTGAACATTGGCAAAAATCAAACATTTCCCTACTTTGAGCTCCATTTCTAGGTTCTTTTTATAGTAAATTCAATAAAAATCACCGCTATTTCTATAATATGTTTTCCATTCTATCAAATGAGACCAAGAAAACGAAAATTTACACCATAAATACTATACGAAAATAGACCATAAAGTCGGCATTTTAATTAAAAAAAAACGGTCGTAGTTTTTTTTTTTTCTTTTATGCACTGCGTGCTCCAGGATTTTTTTTATATGGTGCACACTGACCACACAGACCCATTCTCTACATGTGGGCCTAACCAGCTTTCTCCTGCTTGATTTGAATCCGCTAGAATTTAGAGTATATATACGTCAAACACTGTACCTCGTAAGACGTATATATACGGCGCGACAGTCAAAGGGTTAAAGAGGGAAAGGTACCTAGGGATTGGCGGGAAGGGGCATGTATAGTCCCTTTATATAAAGGGAAGGGGGACAAAAGAGATTGTAAAAAATTATAAAGGAATAAGTTTACTGAGTATACCAGGAAAAGTGTACAGTAGGGTTATTATTGAAAGAATTAGAGGTAAGGGCAGAAATTGTAGAATAGCAGATGAGCAAGGAGGTTTTTGAGTGGGTAGGGGATTTGTAGATCAAGTGTTTACATTGAATCATAAAATGTGAACAGTATTTAGATAAAGGTAGGGAAGTTTTTATTTCATTTATGGATTTAGAAAAGGCATATGACCCGAGTGGATTTGGGGAGCAATGTGCAGATGTTGCAAGTATATGGAACAGGTGGTAAGTCACTAAATCCTGTAAAGAGTTTATGAGGATAGTGAGGCTCAGGTTAGGATGTGTAATGTCACCATGGTTGTTTAATATATTTATAGATGGGGGTTGTAAAAGAAGTAAATGCTAGGGTGTTCGGGAGAGGGGTGGGATTAAATTATGGGGAATCAAATGCAAAATAGGAATTGACAGTTACTTTTTGCTGATGATACTGTGCTTATGGGAGATTCTAAAGAAAAATTGCAAAGGTTAGTGGACGAGTTTGGGAGTGTTTGTAAAGGTAGAAAGTTGAAAGTGAACATAGAAAAGAGTAAGGTGATGAGGGTATCAAATGGTTTAGATAAAGAAAAATTGGATATCAAATTGGGGAGGAGGAGTACGGAAGAAGCGAGTGTTTTCAGATATCTGGGAGTTGACGTGTCAGCGGATGGATTTATGAAGGATGAGGTTAATAATAGAATTGATGAAGGAAAAAAGGCGAGTGGTGCGTCGAGGTATATGTGGAGACAAAAAATGTTATCTATGGAGGCAAAGAAGGGAATGTATGAAAGTACAATATGTAGTACCAACACTCTTATATGGGTGTGAAGCTTGGGTTGTAAATGCTGCAGGGAGGAGACAGTTGGAGGCAGTGGAGATGTCCTGTCTTGGGGCAATGTGTGGTGTGAATATTATGCAGAAAATTCGGAATGTGGAAATTAGGAGAAGGTGTGGAGTTAATAAGAGTATTAGTCAGAGGGCTGAAGAGGGGTTGTTGAGGTGGTTTGGTCATTTAGAGAGAATGGATCAAAGTAGAATGACATGGAGAGCGTATAAATCTGTAGGGGAAGGAAGGCGGGGTAGGGGTCATCCTCAGAAAGGCTGGAGGGAGGGGGTAAAGGAGGTTTTGTGGGCGAGAGGCTTGGACTTACAGCAAGCGTGCGTGAGCATGTTAGATAGGAGTGAATGGAGACGAATGGTATTTGGGACCTGACGAAGTGTTGGAGTGTGAGCAGGGTAATATTTAGTGAAGGGATTCAGGGAAACTGGTTATTTTTATATAGCCGGACTTGAGTCTTGGAAATGGGAAGTACAATGCCTGCACTTTAACCCTGAAACAGTCCAAACTGGACGTATATATACTTTCTTACGCGTAGCACCCCAAACGTATATACACTTACCATCCGACTTACGACCGAGTTCGGTTCCGAGAAACCGGTCGTAAGTTGAAATGGTCGTAAGTCGAACTTTACTACTGAATATCAACAAAACATTTTTGTAATGACTTTATTTTATTGTTTTATTTTGGTATTTCATGTTTTACTTTACTTTTTATGTTGTTAGTACTGTATTTTATACTGTAAGGTTTAGGATAAACACTGTGTACAACACAAATAGTTGTTTATTTCCCAGAAATTTGGCATAAAAAACACGGTCGTAAGTCGAGTGGTCGTAAGTCGAGCAGGTCGTAAGTCGGATGGTAGGCGTATTACGTTTTATTTTTCCTGCCTTCAAATTTGGCATGATTGGCCTGAGATGCCTTGTCAGCATAGGATGGGTCCTAACACTCAGTGTGCGTGGTATTAAAAAATCTGGGACCACTTAGTACCTTGTGGGAGCGCCAGTTAAACTGAGAGCCAACTAGAGCAAACAGTGCCGCAAACACCAAGGATTCACTGATGTAATGTCATATTAACACTCCTCTTTTAAGAGGAAAGTGATGTTAACCACAAGTTTAGGGTCTGTCTATCTCTGTCTTCCTCTGTCTGTCTATCTCTGTCTTCCTCTGTTTGTCTATCTCTGTCTCTGTCTACCTCTGTTTGTCTCTGTCTATCTGTCTCTGTATTTCTTTCAATCTGTCTCTATCTATGTCTCACAGGTACACAAATACAAGTATACATAATGTAAATTACCTAGGACAACCCAAAAAATCCAGACAAAGTGCTATACTCTGCTTGTGTGAACCAAGATTAATTGGTATTATGGTAGCAGGGTTCAATGATACGTCTTCGGAGGCTTCTTACTTTATTGTTAAGTCGTGGTGGATATACAGGCTAGTGTGTTGTGCCCATGGCCCGGGAGAGCCATCCCACGAGAGAGAGCTACTAGGCCTTGTGTCTTTCTGCTAGGCCGCTGTGTGAGTGAGAGAGTGTGGGACCAGCTTCCCACAGACCTGGGCAGACCCAGAGGGCAGCACTTTAGTGGCGTGAAATATGAACTGAGCTGGCGGACAGCATAGGCTGTCTGTGCAGACAGTACAGGCTGTCTACATACGCTCGGCCACCTGCCGCCATATGGTCGTCCCGACCATGTCTGGCAGTAAAAAAAACTCGGTCTCTCTCTCGTAGGAACAGGGTTCAGAACACAAAATAAAAACATGTATATACATATGGACATGGAAAAAAAAAAACTTCCTACAGGGAGGGAAGAAAAAACATGTGGGGAAGAAAAAACATGGTCATAGGCAGTGAGTGTCGAAGGGCATCACTGCACGCCTTCCTGTGTCTGGACAGATACTGCAACGCAGGAG